TTAGTTCCCTATCTCTCTCCCCCTGACCTAGCCACAGTGACCCATGTAATAGTCACCTCCATGCTGGATTACTACAACTCACTCTATGCAGGGTTACCCTTGAGTCTGATCTGGAAACTTGCTGGGTCAGAATGCAGTGGCATGTGTTCTGACAGGAACACCATTAAGAGCACATACACATCCAGTGCTGTGCCAGTTGCACAGTTCAAAGTTTTGGTTTTGATCTTTAAAGCCCTATATGGTCTTGACCAACATACCTTCAGGACCATCTCTCCTGGTATGTCCACAGAAGAGCATTGTGCTCAATGGATCAGGATCTGCTGGCAGTCTCCAGCCCCAAGGATGTCCACTTAGCCTCAACCAGAGCCAGAGCCTTGCTGAGATCCAGGCCCTGTGGGACTTAATACAGTTCTACAGCGCCTGCAAAATGGAGATGTTCCACCAGGCCTATGGTTGAGGTGGCAGGGAGCTATATTTCATCCTCTCCCTCCCTGCATTGCCTCCTTTGCTTGCCATGTGCAATATGTTTTGCCCTTTGTCTGCCCCCATCATCCATCCATACACTTGTGAGGAATCTATCTGGGAGCAATCAGATATGGCATCACTGTTGAGAACTTGAGACCATCAATTTTTATAATTATTATTATTATCTACTGATATTTTATTGCTGTTTGATACTTGGTCTGAAGTTTTAGAAGTTTGGATTATGTGTTCAACAATGGTTGGAACACTCTCCCTGCTTGCGGGATATGGCGGGCTAGAAGACCAATTTAATAAATAAATAAACAGTGTCATTTATATAATGTTCTAAGCGTTTTATGTAATTTTTAATACATCTGCTAAAACTGTCCACATGTACACACTAAGCAGGAGGTATTGGTAGCTGATGCTTGCAAAACTGTGTTTTCCCCATAAATGGAATGACATCCGTTTTGCCGCATTGTGTAAAGTAGCTATATGGAGAGAATTAAAGGTGATTTTTAAAAAGTCTAATAATCTCATTTGCTTTTTATCCCCAAATGTTGCCTTTTGATTTGTGTATTGAAGGATTATTTCAGGAAAACTCATGAAGCCATGGATTTAATTCATTAACTACAAACTTCATTTACGAGTGAACCTTTCATTTTCCATGTGCTATATTTTGTGTTAGCAAGGACGGTAAAAGTTGCAGGGTTTTAATTTTTTCTTTCTCTCTTCAGCTAATTCAGCTTTAGTGAATGAGGATGAAAACTGCATCTACTTTGCTGGTAATTCTCTTGGACTTCAGCCAAAGAAAATTAAAACCTACTTGGATGAAGAACTTGACAAGTGGGCTAAAATGTGAGTAGATCCTGGTGGCACTGTCAGAAAACTTATTTTTCCCAAGAAGGGCAAAAAACTATGATTTTTTTGTGAAGATGATCCTGATTAGAACAGTATTTTGTTAAAATCCATTTCCCAGGCACGGGTAATGCATATTCAGTGTTTTCCCAGCAAAGTAATGACATATTTAAAGGATTTCTAAAGGAACATAATGACTTCCTTAAAGGATATGGACTGAAAGAGGTGAGAGAGAAATGGCTGCAATAATATTTGTCCATCTCCAATTTGCTCAGATAGAAAGATGAAGTGAGTCAATCTCTTGTAATTACTATTTTAACTGTCCTGGTTCAAGTCTTAACTCCATGTTGTTGTGGGACTTATGTTATGGAAGTTGCTGGATGTTTATGTGACTCAGTTTTGCTTCATTACATCTTTTAAACCTAGTTCAGTTTCAAGAGTTTCATCTGACTGTTCCTTGGGTCATTCAGTTTCCTTTCTAAAGAACAAATCCCTGTAAGTACTGTGCTGCTTTCTCAGCACTATTCTTCTGTCCTTTCACTAGGTTAATTTTAAAGCTGAAGCAATAAGAGATAGCATAATGCCACTCTATATCAAGCTTTGAGTCTACATGCAGATTTCCATATTCTGAAATGTATAACTCTCATGTCAAAGGCATTTTCTTTTTTATGTTATAACCCCCTTTTCTCCAACTTCAAAGAAGCATATACTTTTAAAGACTCTCTTATCTGTTCAGCTTACAGTCTCAGAAGAACCCTCTTAACTTCAGCTGTAGTACCAAATGGGATCTCTCCAGGCTACTTTCAAAATGTGTTCCTAGTAGTTCAAATCTCACCAAAGCCCTTGGTTCAGTTTTCAGTCTCTGCATAAAAGCTCAAAGCGGACCTTCAGTCTTAAAAAATGCCTTCCAAATTTAGATTTAAATTTTGAAATTTCATAATGTCAGATTTTGAAGTTTTGCCAAATTCTGTGTTTATGAAAGTAGAATCTGAAATAAAGTTAGAATCTGGTATGCCTTCAAAATTTCAAATTATGAAACGTGATACCTGAAAAATTGCTGTGCTCAGGGCAAAACAGTATCCTTTTCTCCTGTGCCACGTTGTTTTTTTCCCCCGAGTTCATTAGCACTACCACAATCATCTATTAAATCTCATTTACTTATGCAAAAATTGTATGTCCTCGCTAATACATTTGTGATGTTGTCCAGTTGCCCATGTTGACATTTATCCAAATGTTGTAACTTCTTGGTATAAGACAGGTAGCAAACTGATGTCTACCAATCTATGATGCAGACCAAGAAAATGACATTTTTATCTTGAATTTTATCTTGAATTATTAATGTTTTAGGCTTTAATTTGCTCACGCCTACTTTTTGTTATGTCAGAAAAATTGAGGCTGTTTTTAGAGGAAGATGGGCCATTATTGCTATTTAAAATGACGGGGGGAAGTTGAGTGTTGGACAAAAGAACTATGTATGGAGCTTCACTCATGGAACAGATCTTTTTCCCTCCTCTTGTATTTTGCAGTTTCCTGTTCCACCTGAAAAATGGATTGAACTTAAGAACCACAAGTGTGTTGCTCCTCTGGAATCAAGGATATAGATAGGGTTGCCAAATGGGACCGGGGGGCGGGGAATCCCCCGCTTTGGAGGCCCAATTTCCACCTTGGTGGAATCGGGCCCCGGGGGGCGTGGCCGAGATCATCGGGGGGAACCATATGGTTTTTCCCCCGACGATCTGGGCCACGTCCCCAATGTGAGCACGTAACACGTCGCTTCCGGTGACGTTCTGCCGGTGCGCACGTGCTTTGTGCATGCGCACATTCGCCGAGAACTCCCAGAGCCCGGCGAGGCTCCCCCGCTCTGAGGGGTAAGTAGAGTTGGCAACCCTAGATATAGACAAATCATTTATTTTTACAGTGCAGTCTTAAGCAACTATACTCCACTCTAAGCCCAGTGAAATCACTAGGCCTAGACTAGGGCCCTTTCTGCACTTACAGCTTGCTCCTGAGAATCTGAGGGGTCAAGCCTTAAGGGTTGATTTTGCAGTCGCACGCATTCCCTCTGCACTGGTTCCCCCCCCCCTCTGATTTATTTATTTGTGTATTCTGTATGCATTCTGCATCTAACCTGCATTTTTTGAGCTAACTGCCTCCCTCCTTTTCTCCCTCCCTCCATGATTCTGCAAAAAGAAAGAGAAGGGAGGAGGAAATCCAGACCCACATATGCAAGACTGACACATTTGGGAGCAGGGAATCCCCTAGTCCTTTATATTTACTGATTCCTTCTTAAGCTTTCTCTGTCTTTTTAAAAGTTCGCCTGAGCAGGAGGACACATCCTCTTTTGTCTTTGGAAAAGGAGGGAAAGAAAACAGAACAGGGAGGGTCAACCTAAAGAGAGAGAGGCAGAAGTGGGGGGGAGGGCAGTGGGCAGTACTTAAATAGCCAGTCACAGAAACAATTCTACTTTAGAAAGGATTAGTAATTTGAAAGCAGATGAGAACAAAGAATAACTGCAAAAGGAGTTTTGGTAGCTGCGGGGCAACAGTGTACTGGAAGCAGTCTGAATGCAGATTCCTGTAAAACAAATGCAGAAACAAGAGAAAGCCCACAAACAAAGTGAAAGTGACAGCGGGAGGGGATGCAGAATGGAAGAATAGGATGTGCACAGAAACTGAGGCAAAATATGGGTGCAGAAAGGGGCTAGGTGTAACTCGGTATAGGATTGTACTGTCTGTTATTGAGAAACAAGCTTTGGACCAAGTAATATGTGTTTTACACTGTTATTAATGGCATGTTTCATATTGATCATTAATGAAGGGGTGAATAAAGGCACATCTTGACCTGACTTTCTAGACATTCTTTATATCCCTATACCAGATGGAATAGTACTATCTTGAAAACTAAATGACACTGAATGTGAAAAAGCTGTCCTTCACTGTTCTTTGTTTAAATTAGGACAGACACGCTTAATAAAAGTAGCAGGGTGCTTCTTACCTTTCTTTGAAGGAAAGAAAGAGAAATCTGAACTTTGGGTAGCCCTTTTCTCTCTGTTCTTCATTTAGCACAGCTCTGCAGTTTCCCCAGTCATTTAAAAATTGCAATCCTGTCCATTTTTGTACGATTATTGTACTAGATCAAGGAAATGGCTGACTTCATTCAAGAGGTTAAAGTTAAATAGCTCTCTTCTCAATTCAAACAAGGCCAGGAAAGGTAATATTTCAGCTCCTATAACTTTCCTTTTTAGCAGTTTATTTTTCCATGCATATGTTTGTATTGCTGACAATGAATGAGCTTTAGGGGGCAGACCAACAGCCATTCTACAGTGTGGTGGAGATAGTTTCAGCACCTTTGTTTTTGGAGCAAAGAATGCACATTCAAACCACAGAATGTATTATCACCAGCCTTATTTTCATCCATAAAATGTATACAACTTAAAAAAAGGGTATTGTGCTTGGTATGGAAAATTAATATCTGGACAGAACTAATCTATCCACAAGGTTTATGTGCACAGAAAAATAATATAGACAGAAGGAAGATCACTTGCATATGCTGTTATTTCAGAGACAAGAAAGAGAAAATGTCAAAATAAGACCAGACTAAAATAGAACAGTTAGAGAGGAACATTTTATATTTAGACTCAGTATACAAAATACAGGACAAATGGAAGAAGTACAAAGCTGAAGAAGTATCAAAAATACTTGAGGGGGAGCTTTTACTGCTAGCAGAACCGTAGTCTGTAGAGACTAAAAAATTGTCACCACTTTCCAAGTATGTGGTAGCTCACATCTGGAATTGGTGAGTTAGAGCTCTGCACTATGGAAGCAGAGGACAGGTGTTCCATAAGTAAGCAGTGGAAGATCATGAAAGTTATTTAAATTTCTTTCAGGAAAACAGTGACTGTGATGCTTTAATATAATGCTTACTGTTCAATCCTATGAAGCAAAATAACTCTAACTAGAATTCCATTGAAGTCCATGGGCTTGGAAGAGTGTTAACTCTGCTTAAGATGACACTGCTAATTACATTTCCTTCAATGTGTCAATGATGGGCTTGCTATATAGAGATTTCAAAAGCATCCTTTTTTTAAAAGATCACTATTATATCCAATTTCTTTTTATATTACTCTCTTCCCACTATCATTTACTCAAGCCCCTTTCCTCTTGTACACAGGTATACTTTTGTTGTTC